ACTTCTTTTTTCTCCCCTCTTTTTCCCTTCTCTCTCTATCTCCTTGCTTTTTTTCCCCTTTCCTCCTCCTCCTCCTCCTCCTCCCCCTTCTCTAACGATCCATCACTTAAAAAAAAAAAACGCGAAAGAAAAAGAAAAAGATAGAAAAAAAAACACCAAAAACAAGAAAAAAAAAAAAAATGCAAAACGTCGACTTCGATTCGCCAGAATGACTCAGCAATCCTTCAAGCATCTTAAGGAACCGCGTCACGAAGGCGTCCAAAGAGAGATACTCAGGAACGGACGCGAGGGAGGGTAAGGGAGGGAGGAGGGAGGGAGAAGGGAGGAGGAAGGGGCAAGGAGAAGGGGGATGGTGAGGGAGGAGGGGCAGGGAGGAGGGAGAAGGGGGAGTTAGGGGCAGGGAGAAGGGGGATGGTGAGGGAGGAGGGAGGGAGAAGGGGGATGGTGATGGAGGAGGGAGAAGGGGGAGGGAGGGAAAAGGGGGAGTATCAGGGGTGAGGAAGGAGAGGCAGGGAGAAGGGAGGAGGGAAGGAGGAGGGGGAGGGAGGAGGGAGGGACAGGGAGAAGGGGAATAGTGAGGGAGGAGGGAGGGACAGGGAGGAGGGGGATGGTGAGGGAGGAGGGGCAGGGAGGAGGGAGAAGGGGGATGGTGAGGGAGGAGGGAGGGAGAAGGGGGAGTATCAGGGATGAGGAAGGAGAGGCAGGGAGAAGGGAGGAGGGAAGGAGGAGGGGGAGGGAGGAGGGAGGGGCAGGGAGAAGGGGGATGGTGAGGGAGGAGGGAGAGGGAGGGAGAAGGGAGGGGCAGGGAGGAGGGAGAAGGGGGAGTTAGGGGCAGGGAGAAGGGGGATGGTGAGGGAGGAGGGAGGAGGGAGGGACAGGGAGGAGGGGGATGGTGAGGGAGGAGGGAGGGGCAGGGAAAAGTAGGTGAGGGAGGAGGGTGAAGAGGGAGGAGGGGGAAGGATGAGGAAGGAGGAAGGGTGGGGAGGGAGGGGCAGGGAGAAGGGAGGTAGGAGGGAATGTCTGGAAGGAAAGGGAGGGATTAGGGATAAGGGAGGGAGGTGGGAGTATCAGGGAGAAGGAAGGGAGGAGGTAGAAGGGAGAGGTAGGAGGAGGTAGGGAGAACCACGAGGGGAAGGGAGGGAATAAAGAGAAGCCACAGAGGATAAGGGAGCGGTTAGGGAGGGATTGGTGGGACCTGGGGGGGGGGTAAGGAAGTGATAAGGGAGGGATTAGGGCGGACTGGAGGGTCAGGGAGGGATCAGAGAAGACTTAGGAGTCAGGGAGAGATCAGGAGGAGACCAAGGGAGACCACACGGATGGCCGGGAAGGGATCCTAGGAGACCAAACAGACCAGAAGGGATCATAGAGAGATCTGGGAGGGACCGGCGAAGACCAGAGAGGACCAGTGAAGACCTGGGAGGGGCCGGCGAAGACCAGAGAGGACCAGGGAAGACCAGAGAGGACCAGTGAAGACCTGGGAGGGACCGGCGAAGAACAGAGAGGACCAGGGAAGACCAGAAAAGACCAGAGGGGTCCAGGGAAGACCAGAGAGGACCAATGAAGACCTGGGAGGGACCGGCGAAGACCAGAGAGGACCAGGGAAGACCAGAAAAGACCCGAGAAGACGCTATAGAGTGACCATGAGGTCGAAGGAGGGACCGGGGAGACCAGAGAAGGCGAAGAAGTGACTAGGAAGACGTAGGAGGGACCACGGAGGACCATCTAAGACCAGGTCAGACCTGTAAGAGACCATAGAGAGACCATAGAGAAAAAGAACCGCGTAGAACCAGGGAAGACCAGTTATGACAAGCTAAGACCAGTAAAGACCAGAAAGACCACTTAGAAGCAGGAATTTTCCAAGAAAAGGACATTAGATCATAGAGATCATCATTGTTATTTTTGGATATCCTAAGCACGGTTTGTAATCTATTTTTTTCCACTTTTGTTTTATCTTCTATACCCTCCACTCCACTCCACAGTTTGTAATCTCTACATCTTTCTCCTCTTTTTGTTTTTCTTCTTTTTTCTTTTTGTTTTACACCCTCCGCCTTCAAAAGCATCCTCGAGTATTAATCCATTATCATCGGTGCGTCATTTATCATAGTCTCTGCATAGCATTATTTCCCATTTTTTTCTGGAGACTTTTTTATTCCCATTTTCTTTTATACACTATTAATCCATTTTCTTTTTTTCTGAAGATTTTTATATTCCTATTTTTTTTTCTTTCCTTGTCTTTTCTTTCTATCTTTCCAATCTTATTAGTCATCTTCATTTTTTTTTTTTTTTTTTTTTATCTATCTATTTTTACCAGAAAGAACTTATGGAAGATCCGCATAACATGAACCTTTTACGAAGCCAAGAGAGGCTGAATTTTAAAAATGGCATGGCGTGTTTTCTTTCGTTTTTCTTTTTTTTCCCGCGTCTTCGAGGATACGAAGTGTGCAAGATCATGCGTGATAGTCCTGCGAAGCGTAGAAAGAAGGAAAGGAGGAATTTGCAG